GCCACAAGTAGTGCCCCATGCGTGCAAGCGCGTGCAACGCGCGGGTGAACGTAGCTTTGGCAAGCTCGTAATCGCACGGGCGTGCCTGCTCGAGCAGAGACATGGCGGCGGCCAGTCGCCCAGCTTGCAATCGTCTATAGGGAGTATTCACTGGCGGCCATAGCTGTGTGCGCGAATGCTAAGCGCGTGCTGATGGCGAGCTTCCACAGTTCTTTTGCAACGTGCATACCGCACCATCAAGAGTGCCGGTCTTAGCAGCCTATTGATATGAGCTCCTTCTGAGCATGCGCTCTAAACAGTACCCACAAATATGGCGTCCAGTGAATACTCACTATTCTTCCTAGTGATTGGGGGGAGCGGTGGCCGAGTGGGCTAGCGCACACCAGCTCGGAGCACGTGGAGCGAAAGCTCGCGCTGCAGAACCCAGGGTTCGATCTGGATGAGCATCGTACCGGCGCGCGGTCGTATATCACAACTGCGTGATGCACGTTAAAGACCCCAGGCTAGCGGTTGTACCGCATGGGGTAAATTTCTCATCTACAGCTTAGACACCAGGCGCCCACTGAGGCAGACTGACTTCCGGCTGTATAAGGAATACACACAACAATCTGCTTTTGCCTAGTGATTGGCTCTTTACGTGTATTCTGCAGGAAGGTGAACTCGGACTCATTTTTAGAGCGTGGGTCACCTACATACCTATATTTTGTATCCGATAAGGCGACAAAATATATGAGAAGAAAAGTCTGGATCCCATCTGCAATGTAAAAAAAGGTTCTGAAGTTACTTCCCTGTAGCACACGGTGACAGCGAATTACGGCGATCGATAGAAGGGTCCCAGCGAACGGCGAAGCTAACAATACGAGGAGACAAAAAGAAATGCGCCACGGACAGGGACAATTGACATGACGTTACGCTCGATCAATGTCCCTGCGCATGTCGCCGTTTTCAGATTTAGCCGCATTCTGAGCTTCGCTATTCGCTGGGATCCTTCCATCGATCACCATGATTGGCTGTCTCCATGTTTTGCAGGAAAGTGATCTCCGGGGTGAAGAGATCATTATTTAGATTGTTATTTTGATCACGCAGGTTTTAATACGACGATTTAAATTAAACCTTTCCCGCAGAAATAACACCAAAAATACTTGTTTATGTACTGTTTGTCTACGGTTTCATACTTTCTACGTACACTTGTTTTGAATTCAAGTCAAATAATCATCAGTCACGATGATTTTTAAGAAGACTGAACACTAACAACTCTTATAAACAAATTAGTGCGTAGGATTTTTTTTTTTTCTACGTTCCACTTCGCTTGTCAGTTACGTAACGACCTATTGCAAGAAAGTCAAAATGGGGAAAAAACCAAAACAAGAAAAGTAATATCCCATTTCAAGCAAATCAGAACAAAAAAAAAATACAAACACCGGCTAAAAAAAAATTCAATAAATGTAATCCGCGTTTGTTGTAGTATGGCGGGTTTATACACTGTAGAAGTTGTTAATTCAAGTGTAATTAACACGTTTAAATGTAAAAGAATCCTTTCTTCCGCATTGTTCTCAGTGATGGAACAGACTGATCAATCAATCTGTCGCGTTTAAAAGTACCTGAAGTAATAAAAAATCGCTTTTTTTTGTTATTTTTTTTTTTTAGCTACAGCGATTTGAGTCAGGTTAACCTGTTTTAAATCATATAAATTAATTTAAATTACAAAAAATGTATTAATTTTATTGTTTGAGAAAGTGATTAGATAACTCGGACATTTTGTTTTTTCTTTTACAGTGTGATACACCTCTAGTAACTGAGAGCTTAAGCTAGGCAGCAGGGCACGGCCGACGATGCACGCGCTTCATGATTTTCGTGATTGGTTCTTAGTCGTTCTTATTGGCGAATGCCGCAATCTGATTGGCTGAGGAATGGTAACGAGATGCGCAAGACTCACCATGCTCTGCGTTTCGTGGGAGGTCAGTGACTAAAAATAGATATAATGTGTGTCGCTGATAAAACAATCTTACAAAAATTTAGAAGGGGTGTGAGCTAATCATTTTCTCCTTTTCTCGCCCTCATTTTTTTTTTTTGCTTTAATTTTCTCCTTGAAGAAAATTTTGGTTCCATCTGTGCTCTTATATAGCAGGTTTTCATTGTGCACACCGATCTGAGTTGAGGTTTTGAAAACGTATTTTTGTATGGCCTTTTGCAGCGTGCACTCTTTCAGTTGATGAGTGTGCGTCTTCTCAATCACTGTCGCCATATCCGCATTCAAAGAGAAGGTCAGGAATGTGATTTTTTTACTTCTTTTTGAAGCGTATCTCAGGATTTTCTTAGGTGCTCGTTGAAACCATGCATGCGTAGCCAAGACTTTGTGCGACAGCTATCTCAGCGTTTTCGGGAGTGACAAGGATCTTCTTCAGTAGAGAAAGACACTGGCAGTGAGCGATCTCTCTCTAAAAAAAACCCAAAAAACCCAAAACAAAACAAAAACAACTACAACACGGAGAGACGGCTGGTGCTGGCATTAGTTCAAAGGTTGTATTTCCTAGATGATGATGAGCCAAGATTTTATTTTCGATCTGCGTCGTTGGCAACGGTGTCTCTGCTTTTGTGGCGTACGATATCTTGGGCACCAGTATCCTCGGTGGTAAGTTTGTCTACAACTCAACTGGGCTTTAACTTAAGGAGCATGGCGGCGTGTTAGTTCTCAAGCGCAAGAAGATGAACAGTAGTCGAAATCATGAACATTTGTGTACGCTAAAGGTGCGGTTCATCACCAATTTGCTCGTTGCTTCCCACTTTTGCCTGATGACACTTGCAGCCCAGTGGAGCTACGGCGATATAAGTCCTATGTTGAAACCGAAAGCGACAACAGTCACATATAAACCATTGACGGCGTCGATCAGAGCGTCAGCGTAACGACTATTGTGATGTGCGTGTTTCAGTTGACAAATAGTAGGTCGGTTTATTTGCTTAAATGTTTTTTTTGTCGCCATCGAAGTAACATAAGTGCTATCTTCTTCTTACATTTGATTGGTACATATCTGACTCGTCGGAATCATTCATGCGCCGTTACCATGCCCCTCAAAGCTCAGGAAGCGGTATCGGTGAACGTTGCTGAACTCAGCAATTCGCTGAGTTCAGTAAGCAGTAGAGGGTCAAGCTTGGTGAATAACAAATAACAAAAGCTTATGATGGCGGGCAAACGGTTTTGAAAGCTGCCTTGGAATTCTATAATCTTGACCAGGGGTCTCCAAACCTTCTAGAAATGGGGTCGGATTAGAGATCCTTCGCGGTCATGAGGGCCGGAGAAAAAAAAAGGGGTAATTAAGAACGAGGGGAAACTGAATAAATAAACCTAAATAAGCATTTAAACACAGAAATAAATGCTAGAGTAAGTATTAAGAATACCACGAGGTAAATGAATACATGCACTTCACTTAGAAATTTAATATTTAGCTAATTTTGACATTGCCTAGGCTCCCCTCTAGAATTTCAGGAGAATAAAAAGATTTGATTGATTGATTATACAGCAAGTGCCTTTGGAGCCAAGACAACTCATCAGGTCTAATTAAAAAAACAAAAAAAAAACATGGGGACTTCGGCACTTTCGCGCAGTGCAAAAGACCAATGAAGGTGGTAAAATTAAGTCTGAAAACAAAAATATTTGTGACAGAGGACACTACAATGTACGTCAGAATGCAAAGGAATTTTACCATAGTAACACAGACATAAAATCAGGGGACTAAGAATGGTGGCTGATGATGACAATGTGAAATGAAAAATATGGCGAGCGGCAGTGGGGTAGCCAGCCACTGGCAAGAGGATGCAGTTTCGTACTCTTGGTATCGTCGTTTGCGCATTTGGAGCAAGGCCCGGCGCAGTTTCTTTACGCGCACTTCTCTTTGTGCCGGTAGCGTGCCTGCTAGAAGCGGGCCGCGGGGCGGGGTGGAGACCCTTGATCTAAACCCTATTGAAATTTTCACTTTCTGGCGTGATACCCCTTTCCGTCCAGCTTCTGCGTCACCGCGTTCCAGTTGCTTTTATATTGCTAACCTTCATCGCCTTTTCTCCGGGATTCAATATTAGACTAGAAAAGCAAATACACTTACCATTAGGGCTAATTTTCAATAAAACAGGTACCGTTTACCTGGCTGGCCGATGATTTTGCTGCAAGCTAATGAACATCACGAATAGTCAAGCGCAAAACACGTTGATACAAACGTGCTTTTGTTGGCAATATTCCTTTTCTTCTAGGGAAATGCCCCAACAGGAAACTAGGCGAGGATCAGTGAAAAATAAATAAATAAAATAAAGTGTACGTCTTCTATTTAAATTTATACCAAGCGTCCGAGAGAAAACTGAACCCTGTTTTTCGCAACTAGACACCCAGGGCGAGCTTAAACTCCGTCAGAACGCAGCGCCAGCCGTTCGAGCAAAATGCCAAAGTTTTATAACAAACCATTATCTTATTCAAAAGTTATAAGTGATTTTCTGATATTTTTAATGGAAAATGGGGACCTTGCATTTTCGCCCGTTTTCGTTCTCCTGCGCCATAGAGCTCCATTTATTCGAGATCCGTCGGCCGCCGTTTTCCCATTGAAATTTTTAGAAAATCGCTTATAACTTTAGAATAAGAGTTTGATCTCTCCGCGACGTCTAGTTTATTTTTTCGCTGCGAAAAAACAGGGTTCGCTTCTCTCGCAAACGCCCGGTATATTGATATCCGCTTGCCTTACCCCCAATGGATTAAGATGAATAACTGAAAATTCTGGCTACGCCAATAAAACGTCCCCAAATGTAGCTGCTTACTACCAAGACTTAATTTAAAGTTAATCTGGACAGCTAAATCTTGACTAAACCCTAAGCTAAAGAAGGGACACCGCTCTCCACTTCTTTACCTTCGTGTTTCGTCAAAATTGAGCTGTCCCCGACAACACTAAATGATTGTACTAGCTCTACAGAAGCCCGTAATGCCATTTGATTCCATTTCTATTTCTTCTTGTTTTAAACAGGTGGTGGACGGCGGACTGGCGTCCCTTCAGGGCATGCACAACGGCGACCTGATCATCCAGGTGGGGAAACACAACGTCCAGGACCTCACGGAGTCCCGCATCAACGGCCTGTTGGCTCATCCTTCCAAACGGCTCGAGATCTTTGTCGTCCGGTGAGTAGTGTCCGTGCAACCCGAGACTCTCAAGGCTGGCTCAAGCACTTGCCACTGCTTGCGACCAAGTGCCTTGTGCTCTTGAAATGACGATGGTGATGATGATGACGCTTACGACACTGGCACCATCTATCGGGTAGCCCTAGAACACTTCCATTTGGGCATATTTTCAAATATTCATCACGCATAATTCTTTCCCCATAAGGTAAAAAAAGAAGAAACTTTAGTTGTTATAAACGACCATTTCTTAAGATAATACGTACGTTTAATCTCGCAAAAAATTGAAAACCTTCACTCAGGTCAAATTTAGTTCTGGGACTACATCATAGACGGCGCCAGTGTGCCAGTGTGTCCTCTAGTATTTTTTCTTAAATGATCGAAGGGGAATCACAAGGCCGCACAAAGCACTCGGTCGCAACCACACGCAAGTATGTGAAGAAGCCTTCAAAGTTAACTCATGTGATTCTGCCATGATGTATTTGGGAAAGAGGACCCTCATGTAAGAGCTGTATAAGACGTACAACGTTTTAAAAACATTACAATCTAAAAAAAAATCAGCCTTTTTATTTTGGTGAAGAAGGAAGACCAGCGGAGCTGTACAATGGAAAGTAATGGCCGGCCACATGTCGGCAAGCCAGAGTGGAAAGGCTGCCGCCATCTATGAGCGACGGCGGCAACCAGATACGTGGCTTGCCGCCGTAGTTCATAGATGGCGGTAGGTGTCCAGAGTTCGGTGTATTCATTTCTTTGCGGGGGACACGATCCTGGGGAAACTTGCCCTGAACAGCTTCACTGTAAAAGAAAGGTATTGCAGAAAACCAGGCTCTGTTCGGTCACTGTAAAATGCACGAACATTTAAGTGTTTCTTATCGAGGGAATAAATAAATAGTGAATGAAGTACCGGATGTGTGGGAGAAAATGAGAACCGTGTTTTTCTCGACGCAAAAATAGACTACGCGACGTCAAACTCCTAATCTATTCCCAAAATGTAGCCACAGCGGTTGGGACCATATGACAAGGTTTAAGAACTTCGCATTATTTAATAAAAAAAGTTATAATCGTTTCTTTTTTTTTTCTTGCGGGAAAATAGGGTTAGTTACCGGTATCAGATGTCATTCATCTCCATGTCCATGGCCGTCATCTCTACATCAAAAATGTTCAAAAATCGTTTATAAAGTTTGAATAAGGAAATGTTAGTTTTGACATTTTTGCATCTGATTGTAATAACTATAAGCACCGGCAAATTTAGAAACTTAAGGGTGGCGAATCCCGATAATGCTCGCTCCGCACCAAATAAGATAACTGTATTAGCCAATCGAAAAGTACAAAGTGTCCTCCCAAAAAGGTTACAGGGTTTTCTTTACCGCAAAAATGAACGACGCAAGCTCAGACGCTCATTGACCACGAAAATGTAGCGCTAGTGGTCCGAACTAGATGTCAAACGTTTCCCCAGTGGACGGCATTTTATTAAAAAGTTATAAGTCATTTTCTGAAAATTTTAACAGGAAAAAGTGGAAGAACTTACGAATACATGAAGCGTTATTGGGCCAGTTACCGAAAACGGGCGGCAATGAATCCAATTTTCCTATTTAAATTTCCAGGAAATCATTTTAAACTTTTGAATAAGATGACGAGTAATTTGGAAACATTGCCATCTAGTTCTCACCGTTAGCGCTACATTTGGAAGGAGAATGAGCGTTTGACCATGCGTCGTCCATTTTTGCGGCAAAGGAAACACTGTACATTCTTAGCGTGAAACGTTCTTTGGCTATGTGTTCGGCATCTCGTGAAGTTCAACAGTAAAGTCTTGGTAGAATCGTGGCTTTTCGAATGGGGAGGAAGAGGCCATCGCAGTGAGAAGGCGTTTTCACAAGGCAATAATCGAACCCAGACCATAATTTAGCTTATGACGTGAATGTCACGACACATCGCCGTGAGTTGGGGTGCTATTTGGGGGGAAAGCCCTACGGGAGCATTCGCTCTGTGTCCAGCAGCTAGCAAATTGACACAGTGTCACACGTTTTTAAAACGCGGGTTAGCGGCATAAGAATTGCGCTCGAGTGTGCATGCCACGCGTTAATCGCTACACATGCCCAGCAATTTGCAATGCATTTTTTTTTGTTTTCTTGGGACAGGCTGTACAAATAAGGAAGCAAGTACGCAATGTAACATGCCACGTTCTGCGTTTTAAGTTGTCAACCACCAGAACTGAGAGGTTGGTTATGCCTATTTGATTTTGACGGTGAATGAAAATACAGTTCTTTTTTCTCCCAAACGTCCAGTACGTCAATAACTCTGTGACAGAAGGGCTCTTCATTGCGATGGATGTCGTTCGGGGTTTTAACATCTCTTAATTAATATTAATACAAGCAAGAAGGAAGGGTAGAAGGTAGGAAACATCAATTTATTAATACGAGCAAGAAGGAGGGGTAGAAGGTAGAAAACATCAATTAGTAACCCCTTCAGGAAGCTGGAGTACGTAAGGTAGCAATCTTTCGCGGGGCTTCTAAATTTCCGGAATAAGGCGGAATCTATGAACGATCGCAGTGACCTTTGACGCGGAACACTTCCTTGTCGTTGCCTTCATTTTGTTTTGCTTCCGAAGTTCCGTAGAAGGACACAGTATCTCTTCCTGCTTATTTTTGGTCACCTATCCACGACCTCATCTGCGAAATTCGGAAACCGAAGTCTCGAGTGTAGCTACGCCTGCGGCCTGGGACTTGTTTCGGCGAGCATCGAACGCACCGTCTCACGCTCGATTAAGATATTCGCGAGGTTCTTCCGGCGTTTAGTCTATCCGAATACATAATGAGACTAGTCTCGGAGAAAAAGGGAACAAAAAGCTTCTTCGACATATGGTCAGGAAGGCGGCGACACTGTTCTGAGATTAGCGTCACTCATGATACATTCAGCGAGACTAGCGCAGCAAAGGGAAGTCGCCTCAGAAAGAAAAATGGTCGCCGTCGTTCCAAATAGGCGTTCGCTAACGTCTACAGCTGAAAAAAAAAAAAAAAATTAGAGAAAACGTTTTTTTACCTAATTATGCAACAGGGAAAAAAGCTTCCTATAGGTGAAGCCAATACGCAGGATACTAAATTGTATCCCAGGGCGACACGACACGTTAGACACGGACGCTACGCGCTGTTCCTCAATTATGTAAATACCGAGACACCTCAGTATTCTTTTTTATATCATTCATGCTGTGGTTGAAGAGGCAAACACGTCTGACGTTCCAGACGTAACGCATCTTCTTTTCCACGAAATGTATGGACTGATATGGCTGTAGGACAGTAGGAAACGCTGTTTTGCGCGGGTCTTCCTCTAGTGACTGGGAGAGAGCGTGTGGAGGCATCTCATTGTCGCTCCCCAGCCAATCAGGTTGCCGTATTAGCCACACACTTCTTCAGCTCTTACACTTTAAAAAAAAGCCAGTGAGTCTGCTTTCCCGCACAACACTCGGAAAGCCAATCACCGCAACTTACGGAGGCAACTCAGCAAATAACAATGCTGAAACATATTGCTGAAACGCTGAAACATGCTGAAACGACCAAGAAACGCAGTCTGAGTTGTGACATTAAGCTATGCAAAACGTCACGCTTGCATTGCTTAGTGTCACAACTCAGATTGCGTTTTTTGGTCTAAACATGTTTCACCATTGTCATTCGCTGAGTGGCCTCCGTAAGTTGCCGTGATTGGCTCTCCGAGTGCTGTGCGGGAAAGCGGACGCACGGGCTTTTTTCAGAGTGAGGCAGCGCGTTTCAATATGTGAATAACTCCATTGAGACATCTTTCTCTGCCTGCGTAATATTTGCGGCAGACAAAAGAGAAGGATCCGGTCGCCAAATGTTTGGGTCCCGTCGAAGCAGCTTTTCAATAACCCAGAGCGTTATAGTGCTATAGGCTGTGACGATAGTATGGGTTCTTGAAACGAATAAAAAAACTCGAAAGAATGCAATAATATTCTCCAGACCGGAATAGAAAACATCAAATCGCACTGTCTGAAGTGGCACCCCAAATACACTGAAGCTTTCTTTCTCCATAATTTTTTGGGATATTCTTTTTTAAAGTCTGATGTCAATATAGTTTTCTTAAATTTATTAAAAAAGCGATGAATAATAATAAAAAAACTTCTCCCTCAAAAAGCGTAAAAACAAACGCAAGCTGCTGTCCGACTCCAATGTTTTACCCCAAGGCTGAAAAACAATAACAAAACTACTCAAAAGCAGACAGAATGTCCCCATTTTCAGACATTTTGTGCGTTTGTAAGCTTTATAAAGTCTTCATTTCCATCTTGACGAACACCTAGCATTGTTGGTTTCGTTTACAATTCACAACAGATTCCACAGAAATGCAAACCGCAACTTTTTTAACCGAAGAACACAATGAGCGAGCTTTCACACAATTAATCAGGCACGACTGAAGACACACTATGTTGTTTTGATTTCCAAGTGTTCAATTACAGTTTTCCTGATAGAGGAATATGTATTTCTAGATTATCCAAAATTTATAAGGTAAAATGCGTTACTAATGCCGTTATCAGGTGAAAGGTTTGATTTGATAGTGTTTTGGAACTTCGACTATGAGGGCTTTGAAACTAAAGTGCAAGCTATAAATGTCTGTCATGTGTCATCATGGAGGTGACCGTTTTCTTATACTTGTAGCTTTTTGATGGAATATTCAATGATCGACGATATGGTCTATGGCCGTCTACAACTGAGCCATCTGTCATTCAAAACAAATGGTCAGACTCAGGACAAGGAAAATCAATGGCCGACTGGGCTAACGCATCTTAACTCTGAGAGTGGAGCGAAAGCTTGCGCTCCCGAATTTCCTGGGTTCGATCCCCACCCCCTGCCTGTCTCAATCTGGATGACTTTCGCACCGGCACGTGTTCGTGTGATCACTACTGCGTGGTGCACGTTAAGGACCCCAGGTTAGAGGTTGTGCCGCACTGGATAAATATCTCATCTACAGCTGAGAGAAAGGTCACCCGTTGATGT